TTTCTAAACATAACGTCCCAGTGGCTTTTAAACCCCAAAATACATTAAAGACTGGTTCATCCCAAAGATCCAGTCCCCCGGCACAAACAGAGTAATGTTGTGTATGTTGTTCAGTGTCAGGAGGGTGATCAGTCTTACATCAGGGAAACTAAACAGCCACTGGCCAAAAGGATGGACCAGCACAGAAGATCAACATCATCAGGCCAGGACTCTGCGGTCTACACTCATCTCCAGGCCAGCGGTCACTCTTTCAGGGATGAAGATGTTCACATCCTGGACAGAGAGGAACGATGGTTTGAGAGAGGAGTAAAGGAGGCCATCTTTGTGAAAAGAAATCATCCATCATTAAACAGGGGCGGAGCCTCCAGGTTCAACTGTCCCCCTCTTACAATGCTGTGATTGCTAGTATCACTCAGCCCTCTGTGAATAGTAAACAGCCATCAGGTGCTAATGATCCATTGTTAGGCTGATGGTCCTTCTTGAGCATGTGATCAGCTGGTTCTGGTTGTCAGCAGCAAACTGGTTGATCCACTCTGAGAAGGTGCTATTTAAGAGACTGAGCTGAACACAGCACCTCAGACTGAGGAGGTCTCTCGGATGAGAGACGAGACGTTTCTACAACTTTTTTTTTTAATGTCCAGAGGACCAGATTTAACTTTTTAGATTTTCTACCTGGATTATTGAGCAGCATCAACAAGAACTGAAGCTGTCCACCTTGATTTCTTTAAGGGGTTTCAAACATTTGATAATGTCAATGGAAACATCAAAGCAGATATGTTCTTGTTTTTAGTCTTTCACCCAGTTTTACAGCACCCTGATTTATTGTTTTATACACTTTTATTTTAACTACATTTTTGACTATAGTTTATTGTTGTCATTGTTTACTGTTAATGTTGTCTGTACTTGTTCTGTCTGGAACTGGTCCCTCTTGTGAATGAGTCCTCATGGCTCAGACTAACCTGTATAAATACAGGTTTTATGAATGAATGAGATATTTAACAAGCACTCTGCAGATGTCCCCCGTAGTTGAGGGAATTGAAAAGTGAACGTTTGTTATTTTTGAAATGAGTTTTTTTGGCCTGGAAATGAACAAAGAATGCAAGTAAACCTTAAAGTTTTTGGTGCAAAATATTCAAGTGGGTTGAAATTACAGAGTAGTAGAACAGAGGGAGTTTTTTTTTTTTTTTCTTGTTCGAGGCGATGCAGAGTACTAGATCCTGGTAAGTGAAGGGAGTAAATTTACCAATGATCAGGTGTAATGGTGGAGCCAGAGGGTGGACATTGATTGGTGGCCTTGGCCAACATAAATTGATATTTGGCTACTCCAAGAACCACCCCAAACCTTTGGAGGAAATTTTACTTTTAAGTAATGTTAAAATCAGAAAGTATAATTTACTCAAATAATAGGGGTGGCTGGTTTGCCTATATATATACACACACACACACACACACACACACACACATATATATAA